ACCTTTTATGATAAAATCTCACACTTGACGGATTGTGCAGGTGGTAATTACAAGTTGGGGACAATATCGGTATTGTTGGAAGTGGACCATATGACCCGTCTCTCTGATAAGATATTAATAATGTTGAAGAATGAAAAAAGTTCACATAAAAAAATTGACAAAATAAAATGCAATATATAATGAATGGTTACACTACTCATTACACCGAGAAAATTTACCTGAAACATGAAAAAGAGGCAAAGCAATCCTGCAGATATTCATAGCCAAATGGGAAAAGAACAAGAACCCTTTTTTGGCATTTTCACAGCGACGCAGAGAAGCCTTCATTACGCTGAAGAGGAAGAGTACACATGCAAAGGCAATGAATGGAGCAACAGTCCATTCAAGAAATATTCAAAGAAGTCCTCCACCATTGAAATTGTGATTTGCATTCTGCATTTCACAATCACTCGACAATAAGAAACGAAAGAATTATAGCGAAAAACAAGTCAAGCATAAGCATTTGACACAAACATTTACGTGTTTTGGAAATGAATAGTGCAAACAAGATATTGTTTTACCAAAACGAAGTGAAAATCATTTACATTTTTCACGGCCTAATCTGTATAACTCCTTTACCTTATTCCGCAAGGGTAGTAGCTAAAACCTCAGTAACAAGTATAGCTCCCAATAGGGCACCTTGCATTGACTGCTGAGGTGAGACTGGCAGCTGCAAATATTTAGCCAGAGCAAGCCAAATTGCTGTAAAAAATTTATAGGCATGAGAAAAATAACATATAAAATAATATATCAGCAATAAGCAAGTCTTTGAATGTACCTGCGGTTACTACAACAACTACCATACTCCACATCAAGGAGCCTTCACTAGGCTGATTTTCCTTGAGAAACTGGGGATATAGGGAACTCTATTAGCTAAACTATACGCTAGCCCTTCTACTATGCGGTTAATTGCACTTTTTCAGTCGAGTTTATTGACGACATATTGACAACTATAAGATTGAAGTATCAACACTATCAATAATTTGCATGACATATCCACAATTTAAAAAGTTCAATTAACTGCGTTGTAGGAAAATCCAAGATGTAACAGACAATTTCTTTGGACGTAAAATAGAGTTGAATTGGAAGTGTTTTAATCCGTACATCAGAAAACATGTCATTCACAAAACTATCGCAACTTGCAAAGGCTGCTTCAAATGCGTTTAGAAGTGTCAAACTCCCCGACCCAATAGTTGTCGAAAACTGAAAAACATCAAACAAAAGACAAACGTCAGATGCTATAAAATGGACAATCATATGTCTATGAACATAAAAAAAAGGGGAATAACAATGTGACTAGCTAATAGGTATCCACATGAACCCTAATGAAAATGCACAAACCGGAGACGGAAGATCGTTGGCTCCAAATATCGGTATCCATCATAGGTCTCCTTCCACTCCCTCACAACTAACGGCTAGATCAACCAGAACACGATCGTTCCCGATGACATTTTTTCGTCTGTCCGAGTTTCGACTCGTAGGAATTATGCAACGGAGAGACCATAAGCTATGGAAGTAATTCAACCATGTTTGGTTTATTCACATATATCCCAAGTCAAAATATAATAAAATAGGACTTTTTGAACTCCGTTTGAGAGACCATACGCCTTGAAAGTAACTCAACCATGAATTACAACAAATGGTCAAATGGAAGTGTATTTTTCTCGAATTCAAAACATGACTTGAGCCAATAAGTTGTTGGAGGAATTATCGAGTTCAGGCCATATGGACGAACGATGTTGGCTGAAACAATTGACAAAAATCTTGTAAAAAAACATGAGAGGGAGAATTTGAACTCAAAACAAGTAGATAAAATAAGAGCAGGATTTCAATTCCAAAAGATTCGTAGATCGAAGAGAAAGATCCAATTTTAATTGAAAAACTAAAATAATAGTTTCGTGCGACAACAAATAATGGATGAGACTTAATTGAATAGCAACATTATCTTATTCCAAAGCATTGAACTGACCCTCACCTTCTCCATGCATGAAAAATTAGGTAAGCAAAGCAAAATCATATTCTATGCTGGTCAAACGAGAGAAAGGCCACCACACCATACGGTCATGGTCTTCCCCATTATTCCCCTCATTCCTTGGTTTATTTTCAAGAACAAGCCAGGTATTATTCGGACGCATAAAACAAATCCAGCTGGGAGGAAAACGACATTGCATTTGCTTCCCACTTCCCATCTTTTTAACCCCAACCATGTAAATTTATATCCACATTTTCAATATCTCCCCTATTCATCACGAGATATTTTATCGTACCAAAAACAATCACGTGATGATTCACGACGTAGTTTGGCATATTATTCTGCAATTTGAGTCGAGAGATGAGATTGTGTGCAAGACTGAATGTGACTTAGAATATTATTCTGCTACTTATTATTACTGTGCAACGAAATATTTTAAAATCGACTCTCGTAAATAATAAGTTCCCACCAAATTATTGTAATTGTTTTGCTATATGACTCGCTACCCTAAAAGCTCTCACAAAAGTTTGCATGCACCGTTTCACATTGCCTTATAAGATTTTGATATTGTATCAATTTCACTTTTGAATATTTGAACGTTTAATTTAAACTTAGGGTTAAACTTTGTTTACTACTCTTATGTTTTGTGGTTTTCAATATTTAGTACATTAAGTTTTTTTCGTCCCAGAGTCATACCTAAAGTGTTAATTTTGGGATAGTCTCATACATCCGTTAGTCAAACTGTTAATTCTCCCGTTAAGTGATGACGTGGCTTCAAGTGGACAATGACTGGGCGCCATGTGTCATTAAAAATATTAAAATAATTAATTAAATAAATGTTAAAAAAAAAAATCCCTTCTCCCCCCGCCCCAAACGCAGAAGAAGAAGAAGAAGAAGAAGGAAAAAGAAAAAAAAAACCGAATCTGCAACCCAGAAGAAGAAGAAGAAGAAGAAGAAGAAGGAAGAAGAAGAAGAAGAAGAAGAAAAGAGAAAAAAAAAAAACAGCAGCCCAAACCCAGTTCGTCCCCCCTAGCCCGCGACCGCGAACTTGAACCCAGGACCATGAACTTCATATTTTTGGGATTTTCAGTGTGGGTGAATTTTGAAAATACTTTGAGATGGGGGAGTTTGAGTTTGAGATTATTTTTGGACTGGTTTTGTGGTAGATCTCCATTAATCTAGAAACGACGAATTAGGTTTTTTTTTTTTTTTTTTTTTTAATTTTTTTCCTTCTTCTTCTTCTTCTAGGTTCTTCTTCTGGGTTGAGGGCGGGATTGGGGTTTTTTTTTTCCTTCTTCTTCATCTTCTTCTGTGTTGGGGGCCGGAGAGAGAAGGGATGGGTGTTTTTTTTTTTTTTTTAATAACTTTTATTTAATTAATTATTTTAATATTTTTAATAACATGTGGCGCCCAGTCATTGTCCACATAGACGCCATGTCATCACTTAACGGGAGAATTAACATTTTGACTAATAGATGTATGAGACTGTCCCAAAATTAATGCTTTAGGTATGACTTTGGGATGAAAAAAACTTGATGTACTAAATGTTGAAAACCACAAAACATGAGGATAGTAAACATAGTTTAACCCTTAAACTTATTAATAGAACTCTTTTTGTTACATAAATCTTCAATACATAACTGAAACAAAAACATTAGAAAAGAAACAAATGAGCAATAAAGTAACTTCGCACAAAAAGATTGTAATGTTTTTTTAACATCACAGCCATGTCATACAACCACTACCCCTCTAAACTCACTCTCTCTCTCTTCTTAATTGCCAACCCCTTTTTTTAGATGTCTGTCAACTTGTTAAAAAAAAGTAAAAAACAATATTTGAGAAAAATAAAAATGTATTATTCACACATAGAGTGTGTGACCTTTGCTAATATTCATTAAAGTGATGAGTGTTTTTATCAATGTAATGCAAATGTTGCTTACATGTTAATCGTAATTACAAGTTTCATACTTACCATGCCATTAGTTATTGAAGATTCAATTATTTCATCAGACAAAAGGTGTGAATTGAAAGAAAATGGGTAAATTGAAGCAATTTCCAAATTTTAAAATGCAATGTGAGAAAATTAAAACTATGTGACCTATTTCGAAAAGGAATTGTTATTGGCACTTTAAAATTCTCATTTTACACTTTAAACTTTTTATATTTAGAAGAAAAAATACACTTATAACACTTCTCTTTCAAAAATTACCTCAAATATAGAGTGTGAAATGTAGTTCAAAGTGGGTGGTATGCTAGTAAATTCCCCTATGCCCACGTATTTTTACAATCCGCACCAAAACCACGTGCCTGCCAAGTGGTACTATTTGGTGACGTCACCGATGACGTCATCACCCCTTTGGCATCGCCTTGTCCGTATTTTTCGTATTTATTATATGGCACCATGTGGCAAATTGCACAAACGGCACTCTTTGTGCCCCCCACCAATCACCGACGTCGTTCAATTTTTTTTTTTTTCAATGACGCATCATTTGGTACTATAGTCAAGTATTATTATTTTTATTTAAAAATAAAAAATTTTAGATTTAACTCTCGCAGAAAACAAATTTTAGCCGACTCCTACACCTTAATAATAGCCTTCGTTAAAAAAAAAAAAAAAAAAAAAATATGTTACCAATGAGCGCAGATATTTATCCTGAACGCGAAAACAGCGGATCATTTTAACCGAGTGGATATATATTCGGCGACGCGTGGACCCGAGCGGTGGGCTGCGTAGTACAAAGACGCCGTGTCCCCGGCCCTTTTCAAACGGTGCGTGAGATGCCAACGCATGTGTAGGATTTCGCCACGTCACCATATTCCTCGGCACGCTGGAGTAAACGCGCGTGGGGGAAGCTTTGAAGCATAAAGGGCCAGTTGGCATTACTGGGAAGTCTACTGGCCAACCTTATCCTCTTCATTTTTTACTGTTTTTCAAATTTTAATTTCCAAAAATATACACAAACAATATTTTTTATTCAATTTGTTCCTCCAAAAAGAGGGAAGCAAAAATATTTCTTTTATATTTGTATGGGGAGAGGAAGAGGGGGAGAGAGAGATTTTTGCAAGTGTGACTCTTGGCCGTTCACTTTCAGAGAAGACCAAACCAAACCAAACCCTAGATTTCATTCCTGCTGATTTCACCCCCAATTAATTTTTTATTTGAATTTTCAGATCCAAATTGTTCCTGGGAAAGATTCAAAATTTGCTCTTTCAAACCTCTGAAGGTATCATTTTTTTCATTTTGTTTTTCTTTCAGTTTTTGGAAATATTTCAATTCACTCTCTAGGGTGTACTTTGTTTTTGGATATTAACTGAAACATGAAATTTTATGCTGTTTTTTTGCAGTTTTTGGTATTTGGAAGTGTTATTAATTAATGGTTATTTGCAGTGATTGAATCTAATTTGGGTGTTGGAATCAATGCTTAGTTTGCTATATGTTGATACCTGTTTATTTCATGTTATTACAGATCCTGCATAATTTTTGTTACTTGAAGAGGCAAGGAATCTTGGGTCAGGTTTATATTTGTGAGATCTTGTCTGTGATTTTTGAGTTGGATTGGGGAAACCCAGATAAATTCTGTTCAAGATGATGTCCAAATCGTATACCAATCTTTTAGATCTAGCCTCCGGGAACTTTCCGGTAATGGGTCGCGAAAGACGGCGGCTTCCGCGTGTAATGACCGTTGCTGGTGTTATATCCGAGCTTGATGATGATCAGGCTGGTAGTGTGTCTTCGGATGTTCCGTCCTCGATCGTTCAGGACCGGATAATTATTGTTGCCAATCAGCTCCCTGTGAAAGCCAAGCGGAGACCGGATAATAAAGGATGGAGCTTTAGTTGGGATGAGGACTCATTGTTATTGCAGTTGAAGGACGGTTTACCTGAAGATATGGAGGTTTTGTATGTAGGTTCTTTGAGTGTCGAAGTGGATTCGAATGAACAGGACGATGTATCAGCGCTCCTGTTGGATAAATTCAAGAGTGTTCCAGCTTTTTTGCCGCCCGACATTTTGTCCAAGTTCTATCATGGGTTTTGTAAGCAGCATTTGTGGCCTTTGTTTCATTACATGCTTCCATTCTCAGCAACCCATGGTGGGAGGTTCGATCGGTCTTTGTGGGAAGCGTATGTGGCTGCAAATAAGATTTTTTCACAAAGGGTGATCGAGGTAATAAATCCGGAGGATGACTATGTGTGGATTCATGATTACCATCTAATGGTGCTGCCTACCTTCTTGAGGAGGAGATTCAATAGATTGAGAATGGGGTTTTTTCTTCACAGCCCATTCCCTTCGTCAGAAATATATAGGACTCTACCGGTAAGGGAAGAGATCCTAAAGGCACTTCTAAATTCGGACCTTATTGGGTTCCACACATTTGATTACGCTCGACATTTCTTGTCTTGTTGTAGTCGGATGTTGGGTTTGGAGTATCAGTCAAAGCGGGGTTATATTGGGCTGGATTATTTTGGAAGGACAGTTGGGATAAAGATCATGCCTGTAGGGATTCATATGGGGCAGATTGGGTCAGTGTTGAAGCTTGCCGATAAGGAGTGGAGGGTAGGAGAACTTAAACAACAGTTTGAGGGGAAGACTGTGCTGCTGGGTGTTGATGATATGGACGTCTTTAAAGGTGTCAACTTGAAGCTCTTGGCAATGGAACAGATGCTGAAGCAGCATCCAAAGTGGCAGGGGAAAGCAGTTCTGGTACAGATAGCAAACCCTGCAAGGGGAAGAGGGAAAGATCTTGAGGAAACGCAGGCTGAAATACAGGCAAGCATCAAAAGAATTAATGAAAAATTTGGTCGGACTGGTTATGAACCCATTGTGTTTATTGATAGGCCAGTCTCTCTTAGTGAAAGAGTTGCATATTACACCATTGCCGAGTGTGTAGTTGTCACAGCTGTGAGAGATGGGATGAATCTTATTCCATATGAATACATTGTGTGCAGGCAAGGGAACTCTGTATCAGATTCTAATTTAGAACACAGTGGGCCGAAGAAGAGCATGCTAGTAGTATCAGAGTTTATTGGATGTTCCCCTTCACTAAGTGGTGCAATTCGGGTTAACCCATGGAATATTGAATCAACGGCGGAGGCGATGAATGAGGCAATTTCAATGGAGGAACCCGAGAAGCAGTTGCGCCATGAGAAGCATTATAGGTATGTTAGTACACATGACGTGGCATACTGGTCACGAAGTGTTTTCCAAGATATGGAGAGAACTTGCAAAGACCATTTCAGAAGGCGTTGCTGGGGTATTGGTTTGGGCTTCGGCTTCAGGGTTATAGCACTTGATCCTAACTTCAGAAAGCTGAATATTGATCACATCGTTTCTGCTTATTCGAGATCTAAAAATAGGGCGATTCTACTGGATTATGATGGCACTGTGATGCCTCAAACATCTATAAATAAGAGCCCGAGTCAAGAAGTGATCTCCCTCATTAATACACTTTGTGGTGATGTTAAAAACACTGTTTTTGTGGTCAGTGGAAGAGGAAGGGATAGTTTGAGCAAGTGGTTTTCTCCTTGCAAGAAACTCGGAATTGCTGCTGAACATGGTTATTTTATGAGGTATAGCCAATATCTATTTGTCCTCTACAGTTATCCTTGTTTTTTGTTTGGTTTTAACATAAATTGATTTTTGTTAGGTGGTCTGCTGACAAGGATTGGGAAGTTTGCGGGCAGAGCAATGACTTTGGTTGGATACAGATAGCTGAACCAGTTATGAAACTCTACACAGAAGCCACCGATGGTTCTAGCATTGAAACCAAGGAGAGTGCCTTGGTTTGGCACCATCGAGATGCAGATTCTGGTTTTGGATCCAGTCAGGCTAAAGAGTTGCTCGACCATTTAGAAAGTGTGCTAGCAAATGAACCAGTTGCTGTGAAGAGTGGTCAGTACATTGTAGAAGTGAAGCCACAGGTGAATGTCCTAACTCTCTCTCAATTTTTAACTCTCTACGTTAATGCAAATTCTTGTCCAATGTCACATAAAAATATATTAGGACATCACCATTGTCATTATGATCGACTACCTGTTCCTACTTGTCACAGAAAAAGCTCCAACTTTCCCCATTTTCATTGTTAGAACGCATGGAAGATACACAACATATATTTTTCTCATCTTGCAATCTGTAGAAATTTCCATTCAGCCATCCTTATTTGATTTTTTGATTTGCGTCCTCTCTTCTCTTCCTTCGTCTCTTGGGGGTCTTTTGCAAGTCATAAATTAGAATATTATGCTTAGAACTGGTACCTTGTCTGAATAAGCACCTTTGCATTTGTCAGTGTAACACACTAAAAATGCTCAGAAACTCTGAGAATATGCGTAATAACCCTTTGCTTGCGTGCATCTTAATCGAGTGACTTTGAGGAATTTTAGAAAATGAGGGTTTGTTTAGTATCCTCACAAGAAACATTTGTAAAGATTAAACTGTGAAGGATGGCAATGCTTTGACGTTGGCTCATAAAACAATCTCACAGAGAAACCACAGTAATAAAGTTGGACTTTAGTAAAGTTTAAGACGAATAGTTTGCTTGCTGATGATAAAAGAGATCTACATTACGTTGTTAAGGATTGTTGCAAACCAATTGATTTTTTAAGTTAAGTGATGATTGAACCCAATTTTGTTGTGCTTTATAGGGTGTCAGTAAAGGCGTGGTTGCAGAAAAGATCTTCACATCAATGCACGAGACGGGGAAGCAGGCTGACTTTGTACTGTGTGTTGGCGACGATAGATCTGATGAGGATATGTTTGAGATCATTGGTAGTGCTATGACAAACGGCATACTCTCCTCTAATACCAGTGTTTTTGCTTGTACTGTTGGACAGAAACCCAGTAAAGCCAAGTACTATTTGGATGACCCTAGTGATGTTATTACAATGCTCGACGCTCTTGCAGATGCTTCAGATTCTCCACCTTCCTCAGATGGTGAACCAGGCTCCCCTTGAAATCGTCCTCGTGGACTTTGTTAGATACCAGCATCCTTTCTTGCAGCCGATGATGATGAATCACACGATGGGCTTTGATGGAAGAAAGTAATCATTTTTCAGCTTTTCTGGATCTGAATTGTTGGAGGAAAGATTTCATGTTCGTGACCTTCTGACTGATGATTTTCAGCCAGTTCCGGAACATCGGTAGCTTGGATTTCTTCTGTGATATAAACAATCAATCAATGCAGAGTGTGGATTATAGTGGGTTTACTTGGTCAAAAAAACACAACTAAACATCAGCTCAAACTGAAGATCTGATGGAACCGACGATGTTTATTCGTTGAGAACGACTTGGACTGAGAAAGGAAACGGGAAATGGATTGTTGAAGATTGCATCATGTACGCCAAGGTTAAGTAGTCCGGTGAAGGCGTGCGGGCGACGTGCATTCTAGGGACATTAGATTATGGTAATATGGTGGGGGAAAATGGTATTCAAATCCCCATTTGAAACAGTATACTGGTCTTTCTTCTTCATTGTTCTGAGTGAATGTTCTTTGCCATTTGTTTCTTGGATCAAGTCCTTGTCTAATTAAACCTGTAAATTATATAGCAACATTTGCAAGAAATGATCACGTTTCCAAAGATGCCATCTTCCAGATTACTGTTAACTGAGGAGTTGTCACTTGCACGGGGTTGAAATTCATTGTCCTGTCAATATACGCCATACATGGCGTGTTGAGTGGACCACATTCACTCGTTAAATCTCCGGTGATTCGTGAATCTCCTGTGAATGTGATTCATCAACGCACGTCTAATCGATAAATTATTATGTTGGAGAAAGGGAACCCTGGACAGCTTACAACCAAACAAACAGGCTCTCGCTTGAGACCCACATCGCAGGTTTCCAAGCAGCTTCACGGTTTTTACGACTCCAGAGCCCCAGTACCAACATTTTTCTCTCCAAGGATGACCCCCGTATACGTAAATTTATTTTCTCACACGCAATTAATGTCAATGATGCATATGATCATTTGGTGGAGCGGCATCCGGTTTTCACTTTTCTGGAAGTCTTGGGCATCTTTTGAGCGATCGTTGTTGATGAAGAAAATAGTGTTGATCTTCTGCATGCTTATATATTCTCGTCTCTTGATTCTTCTTTGATCTATTTAATTCAAAGACTAAAACTAAATAAAGATGTTATATGAAAACGAAAAAGTACGTGTAGAAATCACTTGTACTGAAACGCCGGATGTCGAAAGGCACGCTACAAATTCAGTATGAGAAACGGTAATTGATCTTGTCGATATATACTTTGAAAATAGAACCCAAACTTCGCGTATGTGGTTTTGGAGTTGCTGGCAATTGCGAGATGGAGGAGACGAAGACACACAAACAAAACAAATGCTGCAACTCAACTGAGTCGGCCATTGCCGTGTTACAAGGGGAAAGGCCCGTAAACCAAATGCTCATAGTCGAAGAGTTGTCACTTCTATAACCCTAATAATATGGTACGATGGGAGACCAAAACAAAAATATGACTAACTTTAGGCTCTAGAGAGGCCTACATACAATAATACTACATTAACCAGTTGCTTATAATTGTGTAAAATTAAAGGTCCTTTCGAAAGTCCTATACGCCAAATGTATATATTAGACCGACTTTTGTTGGTATTAATCGTCCACACACAAGTGAATAATTGACGGTTTACGGAATGCGTCAACGGTTCAAGTCTTTTACAATGAGATTGTGAGCCGTTGATAATTTGATTTAGCCAACGAATCAATGACTCTCTCTCTCTCTCTCTCATCCATTGATATGATTCCAATCCCGAACATATCTTCTGCCATTTACTGCTGCTCCTATTTCCCCACTTGCACTAATTGTATATACCTTTATATAACAGAAACTCTCACACACACACCCCCACACACACACACATATATATATATATATATCCGATATTCCTGGATTGTGTACCTCATTTTATGTCTTTCATAACTCTTTTTTTTATCTCTTTCGTCACGTGATTAGAGAAAATAAAAAGGAAGTAAACAACATGAGATCTGCGACTATTTCTCTACTATACACTTAAAGAAATAGAACACAATTAGTTCATGTAACCACAACAATATATCAGTATTCTAATCAATTACGCATTGCATTTTTTAACTTTCTTACATAACAGTGTCTAATTAGCTCAAAATACTAACCCAATTTCACTTTCTCGTGTAACAGTACGTAATTGATTCAAGATATTGAAAATAAATTATGCATGCCGCACCTTTCAAAGTGAAAATTGAGTCCATGTTAATGATACATGGCAAGGAGAACAATTGTACTAATAGTATATACCTTCATACTACCACCTACACCTACACCTACCACTTTGGCCCCACACCGCATCCAACGGCTCTGATGCATTATTTACATTTCGTATCACAATCCGATCTTAAATTCCCGCCGGAGGAGTCACCGGAGACAAGTATACCTGGCTCTGCACCACCGTCTTGCCAATCTTAAACCCGGGAACAACCGTGAAACTCACCGACGGCTCCGTCTCGACATCTTTGGCAGTCACAGACTCCATGAACACCTCCGAAAATCTCGACCCTTTCTTCACCTGAAAGATTGAAACTTGCTGCCCAAACGAGAACGCCAAGCAATGCAGAAGCCAAACCCGCATCGCCGCCTCTGCAAACGCCGCGAAAAAAGCAGAGTCTGGCATTCCGCCGGAGCTGACGACTTTCCTCATGTTCAAATTCCCAAAAAGCGAACACTCCATCTTTGCGTGAACGAGCTGGAGGTACTTCGCTTTCGTGAACTTGCAAAACGAAGAACTCGGGTTCTGGGTGAGGAAATTTTTCATGTTTTCGGATACGAGTTTCTTGAATTTCTGGAAAAACAAAAGGTGGGTTTTGTTGATTGGGGATAAAGAATCACTGGGTAGGCCGAAGTTTGGATTGTTGAAGCCTTCAAGCAATGTTTTGGAAACGAAGGATTCGAATGCGAAGCATCGATGGCTCTGTTTTGCGAAAACAGAGCCGGGTTCGATGAATCCAACGGCTGTGGAGAGATCCCAGTTGGCGGATTCCATTTCCTGGATCATCAGTCTCACAAAGCTTTTGATGGATCTCAGAGTCTGCTGTTGGTATTGAACGAAATGCGTGGGATTCAGCTCTGAAAGCCGAAGGTTGTCGAAAACGGAGAGAGACGGAGATCCGCTGGCGTTTAGCTTTATCTCCAAGCACTTGTTGGACAAGACCAAATCTTGAAGCTTTTTCTGTAGGGACGAAATGTCGGAATCCTTCTTTCCGGATTCGAACTCCAATTTCTTGATCGAAATCTCGTACGTTTTCATCAGGGCCTGCTGTTCCTGAATCTCCGCGAGCATCATAGTGACTTGCGGCGAGAGATCGAGCTCCTTTTTCAAAAAGCTGCGTTTCAATTCCGATATCGATTTCAGCTCGTTCACCACGGACTGGTCGGCCGTCTGAATCGCTTCGTTGTTGTACGGATCCTGCGCCATTTGGAGCTCTGCGTAAGCTGCCTTTATGGAAGTGATTCCGGCGAAGAGCTTGGCCAGAAGTGCTTCCAACATTGCTCTATTCCGGACCTTGAATTCTTCCTCCTTGTCCGAATCCTTCCGCTTTTCGAAACCATCCTTGACTTTTCCGTTCGACACGAGGATGCAAATGCCATTGTTGGAAGCGATTCGGCTCGTCGCCGTTCGGAGGTTGATGACTTTGCTGAAAGTTCTTGATAATCTGCTCTGTTTTGGTCTCATGGTGGTGTCCATCTGCAAATAGTGAAAAATCAGAGGATCGGTGAGTAAAGAGAGTTCAAATTGTTGGTTGGAGGCATAAAACTTGGGGTTTGTTTTGTGGGGATGAGGGAATGAAAGGTGTTCGAAAGAGAAGGGCGGAGGAGTGGAGGAGAGAGAGAGGAGGTGAGGGAAAAGTGGGGGAGATTTAAAGAGCGGGAAAAAAGGAAAAAGTTGACAGTGTAAATAGGGTGTATATGAGTAATGTTAGATCGACTAAATTTGTAGACAAAATTTAAAAAATTAAAGGACATGAAAGTTGATGGTTGGTTTATTACTTACACGTTGATAAACATGTTTATTCTTATTGATGACATATCATTTAATTTGCAAATTTAGTATTCCTAGCATTACCCGGTGTATATTTACTGATAAGTGAGTACACAACCAGAAATGTCTGTCGCATCACAACTATGAAGATGTATTGCTAAAATGAAAGGAAAAAAAAACCTATGAAGATATAAAACTCATGTTACATGTACAATCCGGCTATGAAACGAGCGTTTGCTGCTTTGTTAAAGAAAAAATTATTGATGTATATGTCGTTGACAACATGTTGATATTATTATAACTAATAGAATATATCAACGATAATGCAGAAGGTGAAAAATAGAGCATTAAAATCACTCTCATTTTGATGATATCAATATAATATTGATGCACATCCATACCTTAGGTCATGCATATAGTATAGTGATATCCACGCTACCGTTCGCTCCTTCAAGATGCTTTCTTTTGTTTTTGTTCTTTAATTTTTCTTTAATATGATGTTAAGTAGAAGATAAAAAATGAGAGTGTAAAAATTATTTCTCTTTATTTGTAATATGTATAGGATTTTAATTGAATATTTTGGGTGGGAAATTGTAATGGTGGTATACAGAGGGATGATGTGAATGAGTGATAGATTGCTAGCATCTACTCATCGACCCTACCTGGTTGCATATCCATAATTCATGGGAGGAGGAGGAGAGCCAAAAGAAGTTGTAATATTCGGACTAAGATCATCTCTAGATCTCAAACTCAGAAGGTAATGGATTCAGTAATTTGAAATATTCAATTTAAATTTTGCGGTTTCCGCTACTTTCATTTCATTAGTCCAACTTACACATATAACCACACATCCTCATCTCTCTCTCTCTCTCTCTCTCTCTCTCTCTCTCTCTCTCTCTCTCTCTCTCTCGTGATATATATTACTAGGTCCGTAGCCTCCGGGTTAGAGGAAGAGATGATCACAATCCGTATCAATGATAAATTAGGACTAAATATACATATATAGATAGATAGTTGCCAAAAATCAAATGACATGTATGTACGTACATTGATAACGATAGCTCTCTCATAATATCAAGGGATCGGAATAAAAAATGCAGTTTACTAATTTTGGTGAGGAACCAAGATTAGCCAACTGTCAGCACTCTAATTATAATGTACAATTAATCTCGATCAATAATGTACTTTCTTTTAATAAAGTAGGGATTTAAGTTTTTTAATATGTGGTTCATGCATGGTTGATGAATAGCAGAATAGGGTTTAGGCTTGGGACAAGCTTAGCATAAATACACGTTGTAATCCTTATGTAATACAGTTTTTTAATCATAGGCAGTGGACTTCACTGTTGGTTGGTGAATGTACACTCTACAGTTGGGGTTTGGATCGCAATTAGCTGGAGCTAATCACATTCTTAATCTATAGTTAAGAATGCCTACAGTTAAACAACAATGCAAATTCAGAAGTTATTGAGACCAAAGAACGGACGCGCGTATTACAAATGTGTCAATAACATATCGATACTATTTTCTGTTGGTCAACCCTAGTTGTGTAAT